GGAGCGCGCGCGGGCGGCGGGAGCGGGACCGGCCCACGTGGCGCGGGGGGGGCCCCGCCGCAAAATGGCTGCTATGGAAACCGGGCGGGAAAAATCCCAGTGAAGAACCGGGGAACGCGGGAGGGGGTGGGGGCCGGGAACCGTCTACAGGCGGGGAGGGGCACGGCCGAAAACAAAAGGGCGCGATCGGGGAGAAGCCGCGGAGTGGGATGGGGGAAAGGAGGTGGAAAAAATAAGGCGGCAGAGAAGGGGAAGGGGGCTGGGGCAGCCGCAGCCCCGCTCACCGCGCACAGCGGCGGCTGCGGAGCCGAGTCAGCAACACAAAGACAAAGCGGGTCCCCTGGGGTCTGTCCTCAGAGCAGTCTGTGCCGCAGGGCTCACAGTCCGGGGGGCGGCGGGAGGCTCCCTGCGCCCCCACCTCATGCCTTCCGGCTCTTGAGCGCCTTGGGCTTTGCCGATTTCTTCACCTTCTTGCCCCCGGGGGACGCGGCTCCCTTCTTTGTGGCCTTCTTGGCTTTGCCCTTGTCCTTCTTAGCCGCGGTGGCGGCGGCTCCTTTCTTGTGCGATTTCTTCTCGGGCTTCTTGCTCTTAGCCGCCGGCTTCTCCGCCCGCCGGGTCGAGGATGCCGTCGCCTTCTTGTGGGACTTGTGGGCGCTGCTGCCCGCGCCCCCCTCGCCGCCGCCTTCCAGCTTCTTCCTGTTGAGCTTGAAAGAGCCGTTGGCGCCGGTGCCCTTGACTTGGAGCAGCGTGTCGTTTTGTACCAGTGCCTTGATGGAGTACTTCAGGTAGGTCCTGCCGTTCTGCTGGTCGAACCAGGCCACCTTCTTGGCCTCGTTGTAGATCTTGGCCAGCGAGGAGCCATTACGCTCGCCCAGTTTGCGGATCGTCTCCACCACTAGCTGGCTGTATTTGCCAGGCTGGTTCTTCTTCTTGTTGTTCTTCCTTTTCTTCGATGGCGACAACGAGGCGCCGCCGCCTCCTTTCGCCTTCTTAGCAGCCGATTTCTTCTCCGGGGAAAGCGGCGCCTCCTCTGCTTCSGTCAGGGGCAAATCGGCTTCTTCGAGTTCTACCGACATGGTGGGGGGGGTCGCGGGCCGGAGCGGGGTCGGGCGGGGGCAGCGGCAGCGTGGCAGGGCCCGGCGAGCGCACTGTGTCTGCTCCGCTCCCTCCGCGTTCTGCCGGGGCGGGCGCCGCCGCCGCCCCTTATATGGGCGCGGGGCGGACCACGTTGAGAACAACAACAGCCTGGTCCGCCGCCAGCCCCGAGTTGTGCTTCTTGGGGCTCCTTGGCGGGGCTCCCTCGCGCCCGCCGGGCCCCCCCGCGCCGCCGCGCCCGCCCCTCGCCCCG